GAAGGAAGGAAGGGAGAGAAAGAGAGAGAGAAAGAAAGAAAGAAAAGAAAAGAAAAGAAAAGAAAAGAAAAGAAAAGAAAAGAAAAGAAAAGAAAAGAGTTGCCAAATGGGCAAATGTGAAAGTGAATGTAAAAGACTTTTTTTTGCCTCATTTAAAAAAAATTTTTTAGGAACTGACAGTATCCAGTGCTTGTGAGGATGTGAAGTGATCAGAACTCTCCCATTCTCACATACTATTTGTAGGAATACAAAATAGTACAGTGAAAAAACGATTTGAAAGTTTCTTAAAGAATTGAACATGGGACCCAGGTAGGAAGCTGATGCAGGAGGACTGCTGCAAGTTTGAGGCCAGCCTAACCCACATAGTGAGTTCAAGGCCTGCCTGAACTACATAGGGAGTCTTGTCTCAAAACAAACAACAACAGAAAGAAGTGAACATGGGAACATTTTCTCTATTTTATTGAATGAAACACTGCTGGATTGTAGGGGGAAAAAAATCCAATTAAGACTACTAAAAAAAGAAATTGAACATATCCTTAATATATGACCCAATAATCCCAGTCCTAAATATTTGTCCAAAAGAAAATAAGACTACACAAAGACCAAGCACTTTGCCCAAAAGTGGAACAACCCAAATCTCTAGCAAAAGGTAAATGAGTAAACTGCGGTACGTGCACACAGATGGCATCAATAGATCCAAGTACTAATGGATACCACTTCATGGATGGCTCTCACGTACATTCTGCTCAGGGAAAGACACAAGACACAAAACTACAGACCTGCTGTCTGTCAGGCACAGAAATTAGAACAATGGTTTCCAGGAACTAAGGAAAGGGAGGGGACTGGCCACAAAGGTGAACAAGGGAGCTCTCTTAATACAACAACAGAAACACTGCACATTGATGGTATTTGTGACGCAAATGTACTGTATGTTTTGTCAAAGTTCACAGAAATGTCAGAGCCAAAAAGGTGAACTGTACTGCATATAACTATATCCCAATAAGTCTGATATAGCATGTAATACCAAAGAACACAGTTTCAGATGAGAAACTGTGGGAGAAAATAGTTTTTCAGGGAGAAAATAGTTTTAAGCCACACATCTGGGATTAATATCCAGAATATATAAAGAATTCCTACAACTCAACAACAAAACAACACAATTCAAAAATGGGCTAAGGGAAAACAAGCACACGAAAAGATGCTCACCATCACAAATCTTTCAGAAAATGCAAATCAAAACCACAAGATACTACCTCACACCCATTAGGATAGCTATTATTAAAAAAAAAAACAAAAAAACAGTAGCAAAGATGTAGAGAACTTGGAACCCTCGTGCACTGCTGGCAGAAATGTAAGATGGTGCAGCCACTGTGGAAACCAGTATAGCAGTTACTCAAAAAATTAAAACCTGACTCATTATGTGATGGAGCAATTCCACTTCTGGATATATACTCAAAACTAAAGCAGCATCTCAAACAGGCACTTATATACCCATGTTCTTGGCAACACTGTTCACTGTAGCTAAAGGTGAAAACATCTCCAATGTCCATCAGTTATAAACGGATAAACAAAAAGTGGACCATCCATATAATAGAGTATCATTCACCCTTAAAAAGACAAGAGTCTGACATATGCCACAACCTGGATGACCTCTGAGGCTACTGCAAAGTGAAACAAGCCAGATGACAAAGGGCAAATACTATATGATAACAATTACATGAGATCCCTACAAGTACTTGAACTCACGGAGACAGAGAGTGGAATGGGAGTTCTAGGAGCTGGGGACAAGAGTGTGGAGCGGTGGACACATAGTTGCAGTTGGGATGTTGTTGAGTGAATGGTGGTGACAGGTGCACAACAGTGTGAATGTGCTCGATGCCACTGACAGTATACTTAAAAATGGCTGGAGTGATATTTTGTGGTACAGTATTATACACCACAATTTCATTTTTTTAAAAAAGTCTCTAGACTTTGCATAGGTTCAAATCCCAGCTGTGCTCCTTACTCAAAGGATAACTTTGAGCATATTCTTCATTTCTATATCTCCTTTTCATAGGTTCTAAAATGCAGGTTAGTAACACAACCTGCCACACTGAGTCACCATGGAGACTGAATGAGTTAGTAAATGTAAAGTACTGTAAACAGTGCCTGGCACACTGTGAGCACTCAACAGACCCTGGCTACTATGTTCAACCATATATTATGTGAGGCTTCACTGGAAATGGCTCAATTCATCTTTTCTATAAACATTTGCATGTAGCCACCAGTCATTCGATTTTTAAGGTGTATATAGCTACTGTTATGTGCCAGACACAGAGAAAAAGAAAAGAAAAAACTATAAACTCATAATCAATATTTTATTAATGTTCCTTAAAATACATTCTCCTCTACAAAATGCAGATGAATGCATTTAAAATTATTTAAAGGATTTTATTTCTTTTTGGAGTTATATCAACCTTTAAATAATTTTAGATGCAGTCATCTGCATTTACACCAGCAGGTCTCAGAGATGGCTGGCACTTACCAATCCAACATTCCAAGCGTGCACAGGGTGTGGTCTTGACCACGTCTGGGGGATCCACACCAACGTTCAGGCACAGAACTAAGGCCACACTGACTGTCTTCATCTGGAAACACAGCAGAAAAACATCTATTTCAACACAGATTTATAGGTACATTTCCTGGCCCACAACGTCCCCAGAACACTCAACCCCACCCCCCAGCCTCCAGCCACCCTGTCAGCATTGTTACCTGTGCCCAGGTTGGCACGCTCTGAATGCCATGCTTCAGAGTAAGGTGGACATGTGGGGGTGGGTGCATGGCAGGAGTGGCTTTTCTCAGGCTTCTTCATCATAAACTCCACAAATAGAAATATTCGACCCAAAGATATAAACATGTTAAAGCACCTGGTAAAGTCTGCTAAATTCCTTTGCAAAATTCCACAAATCTGTCTGACCAGTCTATTTCCACGCTTATCATCTGACATTGTTCAGCTTTCATGAGGAAAACTGCTGAGTCCGTTTAGCCTGTGCTCTGCAGTAGCAGTCAGGCTGGACACTTCCCCAGGCATGTCTGCACTGTTTGTGCACTTTTGTGAACTGTCCATTCACATTCATACTGCCACTTACCCGCATTAGTGACATTTTCCAATTAACTTTCAAGTATTCTTTACATATTAAAGATGGTGTTTACCTTACAGATTGCAAATGTTCCCCTTGTTTGGTGTCTGCCATCTGATCTCTTTCTGCTTCTTGACACACTGACACACTTGGTGATCACCTGCTGTGCCTGCCTCCACACCTGCTCCCTTTCGAGTGCTCCAATATTAGGAAACAGCACCACCCACCAGTTGTTCAAGCCAGAAAAATCTGGAAGGCATCCTTCACCCACTCACTCAAGTGTCAACAAAAACTGAGCACCTGCTAGGTGCCAGCCACTATTTGCAGGTTCTAGGGCTATAGCAGTAAATCAAAGAGTTAAACCTCCTGAAGGGGAGGCAAGAAGATGCCATTCAGAGTGCTGAGAGCCTGAGAGTCGGACATCAGCTCATCCTCCTTCTCACTATTCCAGCCACCAACACCCCACATTTGGGCCCTCACTACCTCCTTCTCATCTCACCACATTAATATCTCCTAAACATGTGCCTTTCAAACCACCACCAACTCTGCTTGGGCTCCAGTCACGTTGCACATGTATGTGAGCATGTATACACCCCTACCTCCCCAACACAGGCTCCAGCTGCAGCAGAGCCAGGCTGTAAACATGGCAGCTCTCTGCTCTATTTACATCAGTCCCAGAGCTACTGGGGAGCTGCACAATATGCCATTAAACCCCAGATTTCCATCAGTCACTCTACGCCCTTCAGGACAATCAGCATGACCACCTGACCCTGGGCCCTCAAAGCCTCATGCCCTCTGCCTGGTGCTCCCCAACCTCTGGCCTCACTGAACAGGCTGACTCTCCTTGGGTCTCAGTGTAAATATCCATTTCTCACCCCCTCCCTGAACACCCTCCTGCATCACACTTCACACTCTCAGGGCAGAACCTTGGGTGCCTTCTTCCTGGAAGCAACTAGTTAGAACCTAAAGATCTTAGAACTTCTGTGAACCTAAGGCTCCCGCCGTTGTGACTGACACACACCAGGTGTTGAAGGAGTAAGCATGAACTTTTTTTTTAATTTACTTACTTATTTTGTGGTGCAAGGAACTACATCCACAGCTAGTGTATAATTTTTTACAAGTGACCCTTTAATCCATCTGGATGTTATATTGGTATATGATGCATGATGAGGATTTTTTTTTTTTTCAGAAAACTAGCTCCATTGTGCCAAATCCTGTTAAGTACTCCCCCAAACTCATGGGTTCAGGGATCCTTCTGCTTATGTTAATTCTCACACAGACCAATATCCATGCTGGGTAATTAACTCATCAACCAATACTTCCACAGGTCCCATGCTGATTTAAACAATTCAGCTTTACATTTCATAATACTTGCAAGAGCCAGGTTTTCTTCCTCAAAAAAATTTTTTAAAGCTTCCTTAACTATTTTATCTTCTTCTATTTTTCTAAAATTATCAGTTATTCAATTTTTAATCCCACTGGAACTTGGAATGAGATTGCACTTATTTAAGTCACATATTTAATCAAATTTGGTAAGAAGTGACACCTTTGTAAGTAATATTCTTCACATAGAATGTTTCTGCATTTTTTCAAATCTCCTTTTAATTTTTTCAATGTTTTATAGTATTCTTCATCAGTAAGTCCTATACATGTCTTAAGAGTACCCCTAAATACTTCGCAAATATCTGAGGAAATGCACATAAGTTCTACAACAGTTTCCTACTGATGCTTGCTCATGTGTAAGGATAATGTCTAATCACTTTACTAAATTCTCAATGACATGTAACCCTTTCTGGTGGTTCTCCTCATGTATACAGTGACACTATTACACTATGAATAATGACAGTCTGCTTCATTCTTTCCAACAGGCCATTCCTCTTGTTTCTGTGTTAGGTCTTATTGTATTATCCAGAACTTCTAAAATAATGTTATTAAAAATTACAAAAGGATGACAGTGGAGATCTTTGTGTCTGATTTTAATGAGATTGTCATGTTTCATCACTAAAAATGATGACAGCTACTGATTTCCTCTGTTCAGCACAGAATTTAAAGTTCAGTGGGGAAAAGGAAGGCTTTTAGTCCATCTTCTCCTGACACTTTCTTTCCACAGGAACTGTATCCCTGCCTTGATAACACACTGAAAGGAAGAACATCTTCCATAGACATGTACCAGAATCCTCTTGCTTTGAACCTAAAGACACATATGGTCCCTTTGTCCTGTCAATAAAATATAATAAATACAGTAAAAGTGATTGTATGATACAAGATGAAGACTGATTTTTTTCCTCAGCCCCCAAAGACAAGCTAGCTGTGGAAAACAAGAAGTTTCATAGGAACCTTTCTGAGATCTTCCTGGAGTTACAATGGACAAGTGCTAACTTTTGCTCAGTACAGTCTTAAGCCCTGAGTGTTTCTTGCTCCTCTGCAGCATGGAACCACAGATCTCAATGAGGCATAGCACCTCCCTGAAGTCAGTCCTGAGCAGCTTCCTGAGGGAAATGCAGGCTTGGCTCGTGGTCACTACAGGACCCTCCATGAAGAAGGCAACCTAGGGCTGGGGATTTAGCTCAGTGGTTTCGCCGCCTGTTTCGCAAGCACAAGGACCCGAGTTCGATCCCCAGTATCAAAAAAAAAAAAAAAAAAAGAAGGCAACCTACATAGCCTTAGTTCTCTAGTGTTCAAACTATAGGCATTCTCCCTGTCCTCAGTTTCCCTTTCTTCGGCTTGAGTTACTCAAGGTCAAATAGGTCAGAGAACAGTACATGGAAAATTCCAGGAATAAACAATTCATGAATTCTAGCTTGCACAACACTCTGAGAAACATGATGAAACTTCCATCTTGTGAATCAGGATGCATATCCACACAGTATAAGCTACCCACCCATTAGCCATGTAGCAGCATCTCGGTTATCAGAGCAGCTACTGAGGTTTGCCGTACTCGTATACAATTCACCCTTATTTTATTTGATATCGGTCCCACAGTGCAAGAGCAGTGATGCTGGCAATTCGAGTTTGCCAAGAAAAGGCCATAAAGTGCTTCCTTTAAATGAAGAGTGAAATTATAATAACATATTGAGAGAGAGCCCACATTAGTGTAATTTTTGTTATAGTACATCGTTATAATTATTCTTTTCTATTACTAGTTATTGTGGTTAATCTCTTACTGTGCCTAATTTATAAATTAAACCTTAACATAAGTATATATGTATAGGAACAAAGACATAGTCTATCTAGGGCACAATACTTTCCATGGTTTCAGGCATCAACTGTGATCTTGGAACATAGCCCCATGGGTAAAGCAGACTGTCTACCACACCTGAACTCTCCCAACTGGATTCTCACTTTGTCCTTAATCTGTAGTGAACGTCCTTAAAATGACTTCATGTTCCTTTCACAAAGTTCAGATGAGGAAACAGCATCCCTGACACACCTAAAGGACTACAGCTACCCACCACTCCCTGGGCAAGCTCTGTGGCCACTGCTCAGGGCTGGCCTGGCAGCACATTCTCTCCCAATACCCACAGCCCTGTGCACCACGGAGGAAGGGGAAGAGCCCTTTTCTGGGCTGAAACTTGCTTGGTAAGTTTGCCAGGAAGTTCACATCCAGATTCTGGGCTCCATCCCAGCACATCTGATTAGTAATGGCCTCCATTTATTAAGTGCCCATCCCTAACAACCACTGTGCCCTGCAGCTAAAGGGTCATGGTCTGGATAGTGGCATCCACAACTTAGGGAAGTATCAAGGGAATGAGCAGAGAGGCTGGTCTTGGGACAACAAGCTCTGTGAGGGGTGTTCCTCCCTCTTCACTGTCACAGAGGGAACAGGGCATCCATGTGGCATTCCTAGTATCTCTGATTCAAATAAAAAATTCTCAGTAAGTTCTGAGCTCTTTAGACAAAAATATTAATTTGTGAAAGCCCAACAGTCACATAGTATCTCAGTCCTATGAGATGCTAAAGGGCCTTATTTTAGTTACCTGCCAACAATGCATCTTTCAAACTCACCAGACAGTATGTACAGAGACAATTTCTCCTTGGCTGGTCTAAAAGTGAGCAGTCTGGCCCTCACACAGAAAGGGTGAAAAGAGCCACACTACAAGGATGAAGACATGGAAGCAACCCATTTGATTCACCTCTGCTCACACAGTACATACCTAACAGCCTGCACTGTACTGCCCAAGAAAAGAAAAAAACTCAAGAATACACTGTCATTCACATAGATATTGGTTCAATACCCAGTTAGCAATTTAATTCCAAAATTAGGCAAAGATTACTACTAAATAGCCTTAAGTCAGATACCTACTGCATTTCCCCAAAAATAAGACTGGGTCTTACATCAAAACTTTTTTTTTTTTTTTTGGTAACAGGGATCGAACTCAGAACCTTGCACTTGGCGAGACAGGCGGCAGAACCTCTGAGCTAAATCCCAGGCTCAATTTTTGCTCCAAAAGACACAACAGATCTTATTTTCAGGGGATGTCTTATTTTTTCATATATAACAATCTACA